CCCCCCCAAAATCACCCCCAAAACCTTCCCCTACCCACCTGCACCTCAAAACCTCCCCCCCAAACCAGTCCCCCAATACCTGTCCCACACCTGAACCCCCCAAAATCACCTCCCAAACCTGCCCCCACACACCTGCACCCCAAAATCACCCCCACACCTGCCCCACACCTGAACCCCCCAAAATCACCCCCCAAAACCTTCCCCCCACACCTGCCCACACCTGAGCCCCCCCAAAATCACCCCCCAAACCTTCCCCCCTAACCCCAGCCCCCCCCCCCACGTGTCCTCCCTTTAGACCCCCCCAAACCTCTCTCGCGACGCCCCCCAAAAACCGCTGCCCCCCCTCCCGGACCCCGCGGTCCCTCCGGCCGGGCCCCGCTCACCTGCGGCCCGAGCGGAGCCGAACGCGGCCGAACGGAACCGAACGGAGCCGAACTCGGTCGAACTGGGACGAACGGAGCCGAACCGGAGCCGAACGGAGCCGAATGGAACCGAACTGGGACGAACGGAGCCGAACGGAGCCGGCCCGGCCCGAAGGTTTCCGAACGTCCCCGAAGGTCCCCGAGCGGAGCCGAACCGGTGCCGAAGGTGACCGAAGATGCCCGAGCGGGGTCGACGGGGGCGCGCGGAGACACGAGGAGGGGGCGGGGGACACCCCTCATTAGGACCCCAGAGACCCCCCAGAGACCCCCCAAAGACCCCCCATACACCCCCTATGGACACCCATAGGCCCCCAGAGACCCCCCCAGAGACCCCCAAGAGACCCCCCCATAGGTCTCGCCCCATGGGGGGTGTCGAGACACACGTGAGGGGGATTTGGGGGGTCTCCTCCCTCCGGAGGTCCCGGGACTCATCTGAGGGAATGTTTGGGGGTCCCTCCCCTCTCAGGGGGTCTCTGAACTGTGCCAGGGGGGTCCAAGTGCTCCTTTTCAGCGATCCCTGGTGGTCTAGTGGTTAGGATTCGGCGCTCTCACCGCCGCGGCCCGGGTTCGATTCCCGGTCAGGGAACAAAGAAGTTTCTTTTTTTTGTTCCCGTTTTTTCCTCCTTCTTATTTCCATTTTTCCCTCTTCCTCTTTCCCCACTCGCCAAACTCCTTTACTGTAATAATTAATAAATTTTTAAAAATAAATATGATACAGAATATATGCAACATACATGATGTACTATGTAATGTCTATCTCGTATTGGCCTCATTAGCCACCAACGTGCATGTAACAAATGCGGATAGAGCCTTTCCCAAATCTTCGTTCGTGAAGCCCTGCCATGATGATGATGATATAATGTATAATATATAACATAAAAATACATTAAAAATATATGTTATACTATAATAATAAGGAAATATTTATAGTATTTGTAATATTGCTAAAGGACTTGTAATATATTATTATTTATAATAAAAACATTTAAATACATTAAAACATAAAAGTACATTTAAAAGCCATAAAAATACATAAAACCTCCATGAAGCCTCCACAAAAAATACATTAAAATACCCTAAAACCCATAAAAAGTATAAAAATACATAAAAGCCCATAAAAATCCAGAAAAGCACATAGAAAAAAGGGGGAGGAGGTCAAAAGCCAGTGCTGTCTGTCGCGACACAGGCAGAGGCACCGCTGGGATTCGAACCCAGGATCTCCTGTTTACTAGACAGGCGCTTTAACCAACTAAGCCACGGCGCCGGCGCTGGGCGAGGGCAGATCAGAGACCATCAGACCCCCAAACCCCTCCCCTCCCCTTCCCCCGCGAGACTCGGGATCCCCCGAGAAGGGAGACCCCCAAAATCCCCACGTACACACACACCTGTCCCGGAACCCCCTGAGGGAGGAAACCCCCCCAAAAAACCCTTTTCCCACCCCCATCCTTGTCCCGGGACCTTCCCGAGGGTGGAGACGCCCCCAAAAAAACCCTTTACAACCCCAGAAAAGGAGGGGAAATGGGAGGGGAGGACAATGAGGAGAACTAAAGAGGGGAAAAAGGAAAGTTAGGAAAAAATAGGGGGAGAAAAAGAAAAAAAAAAAAGTGAAAATTAGTGGGGGAAAGAAGGAAATGAGGGGGAGAAAAAACAGCATTAGCAGAGGATGGTTTCGATCCATCGACCTCTGGGTTATGGGCCCAGCACGCTCCCGCTGCGCCACTCTGCTACTGGAAAAGGGGGCCCTAATTGCTCGTAATGAATCATAATTACTTAGAGTGGGGCTCAACTGGGCCGAAAACGGGAGCAGTTTAAAAAAATACACAATTTATTGCATGTTATTATACACGTACATATAGAGATTGATTGATTGATCTAACCATTTAGTTAATTAATTCATTTTTATCTTTTTACTTTTATCTAATTTTTTTAATTCAAATTTATCTAATTTATTCATTTAATTTATTCGTTTAGATAATTTAATTAATTTAATTTATTTATTTAACCTCCTTATTCCTTTAGCTTATTTATTTTTATTTACTTATGTTATTCTTTTAGTTTGTTTATTTAATTTATTCATTTCATGTATTTATTCATTTTTAAAAATGTGTTTAAAACCCTCCCCGCTTCCCCGAGTTGGCTCCCCCGGGATTCGAACCCTCATTTCCGGGGTGGGTAAACCACGCCCACAGCACGCCCTCTGATCGGAGACCACGCCTCCATTCACGCCCCTTGCTGTAAAGCCACGCCCCTCCAGGAGCCAGATGGGCGCGGGGCGCGAGTGCGCAGCCGCGGACGAGGTGGCCGAGTGGTTAAGGCGATGGACTGCTAATCCATTGTGCTCTGCACGCGTGGGTTCGAATCCCACCCTCGTCGGTTACCGCGTTTTTGGGGGGTTCCCCAAAACCGCCCTCTTGTGATTGAGGTTCATTTTTCGGGGGATCTGCAGCAAATGCCGTCCCTTTCCCCTCCTTTTACATCGTTTTCTCCATCCTTTTTCGTCCTTTTCCCACCCTTTTTAAATCCTTTACCTGCCTTTTTTCCAGCATTTTCTCTCGGTTTTCAACAATTTCTCCACTTTTTTCCACCCTTTTCCCACCCTTTTCCACCTTTTCGTCACCTTTTCGTACCCTTCTCACCATTTTTTCCACCCTTTTCCACCCTTTTTCCATCCTTTTTCATCCTTTGCCTGCCTTTTCCCCAGTCTTTTTCTGCAGTTTGCCACTATTTTCTCACCTTTTTTTCACCTTTTCCTACCCTTTTCCATCTTTTCCCTACTCTTTCTCATCCTTTTCCACTGTTTTCCCATATTTTTTCCAGTATTTCCATCATTTTCCAGCCTTCCCCCACCCTTTCTCCATCTTTTTTCCTCCCTTTTCCCTTTTTTTCCACCCTCTTCCCACCTTTTTCCACCCAAGAGCCCCAAACAGGTAAAAACAGGTTAAAAAAAGGCAAAAAACAGGGAATTTTATTCAACTCCCCTTTTTTGGGGGTCCCCAGGTATTCCCAGCTCATTTCCAGGTGCTTCCATCCCATTCCCAAGTGTTCCCATCCCATTTCCAGGCATTTCTATCCCACATCCAGGAGTTCCATCCCATTCCCAGGTATTCCCAGTCTGTTTCCAAGTGGTTTGGACCCATTTCCAGATGTTTTTATCCCACTTCCAAGAGGTTCCATCCCATTCCCAGGTATTTCCAACCCATTCCCAAGTGTTTCGTTCCCACTTCCAGATGCTTTTATCCCATTTCCAGGTGTTTCCAGCCCATTCCAGGTGTTTCCAGCCCACGTTCGGGTATTTCTGTCCCATTCCCAGGTGTGTCCAATTCACTCCCAGGTTCTTCCAACCCACTTCCAGGTGTTCCAGACCCATTTCCAGATGTTTCTGACCCATATCCAGGTGTGTCTGACCCATCTCCAGGTGTTTCTATCCCATCCCCAGGTGCTTCCAGTTCATTCCCAGGTGAGTCAGACCCATCTCCAGATGTTCCAGACCCATATCCAGGTGTGTCCAACTCATTCTCAGGTGTTTCAGTCCCATCCCCAGCTGTATCTATCCCATTTCCAGGTGTGTCTGACCCATATCCAGGTGTGTCTGACCCATACCCAGGTGTGTCTGACTCATATCCAGGTGTCTCTGACCCATATCCAGGTGTGTCTGATCCATCCCCAAGTCTGTCTGACCCATATCCAGGTGTGTCTGACCCATATCCAGGTGTGTCTGACCCATCCCCAGCTGTCTCTGACCCACTCCCAGGTACTTCTAACTCATCCCTAGGTGTGTCCAACCCATTTCCAGGTGTTTCTCTCCCACATGCAGGTGTGTCCGACCCATCCCCAGGTGAGTTGAATCCATCCTCAGGTGTGTCTGACCCATCCCCAGGTGTGCCTGCCCCGCTCCCACCCCCCTCAGGCCTCCCCACCTGCCCTCCCCAGCACCTGTCCAGGTACCTGTTCACCTCCCCGGCGTGGCTCCGCCTGTCGGGCTCCAGCCGGAGGAGCCTCCGGAGCATCTCCAGCGCCGCCTCCCCCAACCCCTGCCAGGCACGCGGCACCTCCCCCCCGCCGGTGAGCCCACCTGGCTGCCAGGTGCGGCCCTGCCACACCTGGAACTCCCCAAACTGGGGATCTGAGGGCGCAGCCACCCCCCAGGGGAAGGTGCCTGTGAGGAGGGCGAAGAGGAGGACGCCGAAGGCCCAGGCGTCCAGGCTGGGCTCCAGGCGCAGCGTCTCCGCCTCGCGCAGGTGGCACAGCTCAGGTGCGGCGTAGGGGGCGTGGCCCGAGCCGCAGGTGGGCCCCACCTGCCAGCCCATGACGCGGGTGAGGCCGAAGTCGCCCAGTTTGACCAGTTGGCACTGGGGGTCGAAGGCCAGCACGTTGTCCAGCTTCACGTCTCGGTGCACCAGGGCGTGGCCGTGCAGGTAATCCAGGGCCGCGCCCACCTGGGTGGCCACGCGCTTCACCTGCGGCTCAGGGAGGCCCACCTGAGGAGGGGGGGACACGCCTGGTGGGACACAGGGTCACCCAATGTCACCTGGGGTCACCTGAGGTCACCTATGGTCACCTGGAGTCATCATTTGGGTCACCTGTGGGGTCACTTGTGAGTGTAGGGATTCACCTGGGACTCAGGGAGACTCACCTGTGGAGGGGGGGACACACCTGGGGTCACCTGGAGATACTTGGGGTCACCTGGTGTCACCTTGGGTCACCTGTGGGGTCACCTACGAGTGCAGGGGTTCACCTTGTTCTCGGGGAGCCCGCAAAGGTCCCAGACAGGTGCATCCCTCACACCTGTCCATCCTTCCCCCTCACACCTGTCCCCCCCCAAACACACCTGTGCCCACTCCGGACACATCTGAGCACTCACCCCAGGTGTGAGCAGCCCGCCCAGGTGAGTCTCCGCACACCTGAGCACTCACCCCAGGTGTGAGCAGCCCACACAGGTCCCCGGCAGGTGCGTGTTCCTGCGCGAAGCCGAAGTGGGTGGGGGTCTCGAAGGCCAGGGGCAGCACCTGCAGGCAGGTGAGCTGCCCCCGCAGGCACAGGTGAGTGCAGAACTCCCGCAGGAAGCCCCACCTGCCCGTCCGGTCCTTCCGCAGCAGCTTCAGCACCACCGGCGCACCTGGGCAAGGGTGGGGACACACCTGGGCACTCCTGGGCACACCTGGGGATGGGTTATACCCCCAGAGACACACCTGGGCACACCTGGGGATGGGTTATACCTCTTATAGACACATCTGGGCACACCTGGGGGCACCTGGGCACAGGTTACCCCACCCCATAGACCACCCCAGAGCCCCTTGGATCTCCCAGGTGTGTTTGGGGGCAGAGCCTGAAGTGTGTCAGGTGTGTCAGGTGCTCACCTGGCGCACAGGTACCCCCAAATCCCCCCTCCCTGAGCCCCCCGAGCCCTCCCAGTACCCCCCCAGCCCCTCACCCCCGTCTCGGGGCTGGGCCAGCACCACGTGCCCGTAGGAGCCACTGCCCAGTTCTCCCAGTACGTCCCAGTCCTGCTCCAGTTGGCACTGGGGGAGGTCCCGCCCTGTTTGAACCATCAGGTGCTGCAGGAGCCTTTCCTGGGCCTCCCCCTCCTCCTCCTCCTCCTCTTCCTCCTCGGCCGCTGCTTCCATGGGCCCTGGGAACCAGTATGGACCGGTATGGACCAGTATGGACCAATTCACTCCAATACAGCCCAGCCCAGTTTAATCCTCATCCTCCTCACCTTCATCTTCATCCCCCTCCGCCTCCTCTGGGGCAGCCCACTATAGACCAGTACAGACCAGTACAGTCGATATCAGCCCAGCTCAGCTCATTCCATTCCAGTCTGTCCCAGTCAAACCCAGTCCAGCCCAGTATAGCCCAATTCAACCCAGTCCAGCCCAGTATAACCCAGTTCAACCCAGTGCAGCCCAGCTCAATCCCAGTCCATCCCCATATAACCCAGTCCATTCCAGTCCATCCCACTCCATCCCAGTATAACCCAGTCCATTCCAGTTCACTCCAGTCCAGCCCAATCCATCCCAGTATAATCCAGTCCAACCTAGTCCATCTCAGTCCATCCCAGTCCACCCCAATCCATCCCAGTACAACTCAACCCATCCCAGTCCTGCCCAACATCCAGGTCTCCCCCCATCACCTGCCCCCAGGTGCCACCTGTCCCCCCAACCCACCTGTCCCCGCCCCCTCCGCCCCCCTGCCCCCAGGTGCCACCCCTCCTGCCGGTGTCCCCAGGGGTGGCCCCGGTGTCTCACCTGTGTCCCCCGGTGGGTCAGGGGGTGTCAGTGCCCCCCCAGGTGCCCCCCCAGGTGCCCCCTCGGCGGCCCCTGCGGTTGTGACTCAGAGTTTCCCGTGCCCGCGGTGCCACCCGGGCCCCGCTAATCTCTGTCACCTGCGTGTGGGGACACGTGTGTGTCACCCACGGCCAAAGATGGGCACGGGGGGGGGCAGAGGGACACTGGGACAAGGGGGGGCGACAGAGGGGGCACGGGGACATGGAGGACATGGGGGGGACATGGGGGGACATGGGGACCCGGGGGAGACAGAGGGGACAGAGGGACAAGGGGGACATCGGGTGGACATGGGGGGACCTGGAGGGGACACGGGGGTGACATGGGTGTCGTGGGGACATGGGGGGGCTTGGGGGACATGGGGGGACCTGGAGGGGACACGGGGGGACGGGGGGGACAAAGGGACAAGGAGGAGACAGAGGGACAGGTTGGGGCACAGTGTCTCCGGTGTCCCCAGTGTCCCCAGTGCCCCCCCAGTGTCCCCAGTGCCCCCCAGTACACTGAAACTCCCTCCCAGTGCCTCCCAGTATATCCCAGTATACCCCAGTATCTTCCAGTCTCTCCCAGTATATCCCAGTGCCCCCCAGTCTCTCCCAGTGCCCCCGGTGATGGTGCCACTGGTGCCACCGGTGCCACCTGGCCCTGTCCCCCCCCGGCTATTTCGGGTCCCCCCGCACCTGTCCCTGCCCTTCCCCACCCCGGGCCCCCCGCCAGACCCTCCCCCACCCCGAGGGGACACAGCGGGGGCTCGGGGCACTGGGAGGCACTGGGAGAAACTGGGAGGTACTGGTGGGTACTGGGAGAGAGTTCAGTGCACTGGGAAGAGACTGGGATGGACTGGGGGGAACTAGGGGGCACTGGAAAGGGATTTGGGGACACTGGGAGGGACTGGGAGGGGACTGGGGGGCACTGGGAAGGGGTTTCAGTGCACTGGGCTGTACTGGGCTGTACTGGGCTGTACTGGGAGGGGCCGGGGCCGGGCCAGGTGTTGCCGGGGGGGGGATTTGGGGGGTCGTGACCCCCCCCCGGGAGCAGCTGTTCACTAACGAGCTGCCGGGGGTTAATTACCGGCAGGGGATGATTAATTGCCTTCGGTGGGTGATTAATGAGCCCCCGGGAATGATTAATCGCCCTCGGCAGGGGGTATTAATTACCCGCGGGGGGGGGAGGAGGGATTAATGAGCCCCCGCGGGGTCACGGCCCTGACAGGTGACACCGACAGGTGGGGAGGGGGAGGGAAGGGGACACTGCAGGGGGAGGGGAGGGACTGGGGGGCACTGGGAGGGGAGGGGAGTGACTGGGAAGGGGCTGGGAGGGACTGGGATATACTGGGAGGAACTGGGATGGACTGGGAGGGAGTTTCAGTGCAATAGGAAGGGAGTGAGATATACTGGGAGAGACTGGGAGGGAGTTTCAGTTTACTGGGAAGGGACTGGGAGACACTGGGAGGGGGGCCTGGAGGGACTTTGAGTTTGAGTGCACTGGGAAGGGACTGGGATATACTGGGAGGCACTGGAATGGACTGGGAGGGGGGTTCAATGCACTGGGGGGCACTGGGAGGGGGCTGGGAGGGAGTGGGGCCATACTGGGGGGATACTGGTAGTCAGATGGGCCATACTGGGAGTCAGCTGGGCTGTACTGGGGCCGTACTGGGAGTCAGCCGGGCTGTACTGGGGCTGTACTGGGGCGATACTGGAGACACACTGGGACTCAGTGGGGCCATACTGGGGGCAGTTGGGTTGTACTGGGGGATACTGGGACCATACTGGTCAGGTCCCATGACCCCTATGGAACCCATGGCCACGCCCCCAACATGACCACGCCTCCTCAAGGCCCCACCCCCAAGATGAGACACACTTGGGGGGGAGGGGCACCTTTATTTGACAGGGGGACACAGGTAACACCCCTCCCCCCCGCCAGGTACCCACACATACCCCCTCACCTGGGGCACTGCCCCCGAGGTGCCCCCTCACCTGCTCACCTGCAGGCACAGGTAGGCAGATGCCCCCCCCAGCACCTCCAAGGCTTCCAGGTGGGCACTGGGCACCTCCTCAGGGGGTTCCAGGTGGGCACTGGGCACCTCCAAAGTCTCCAGGTGGACATTTGTCACCTCCTCCGTGGGCTCCAGGTGGGCACTGGGCACCTCCATCACCTCCAGGTGGGCATTGGGCACCTCTGAGGTCTCCAGGTGGGCACTGGGCACCTCCAAGGTCTCCAGGTGGACATTTGTCACCTCCTCAGGGGGTTCCAGGTGGGCACTGGGCACCTCTGGTGTCTCCAGGTGCACAGAGGGCACCTCCAAGGTTTCCAGGTGGGCACTGGGCACCTCCGTGGGCTCCAGGTGGGCATTGGGCACCTCCTTGGGGGTCTCCAGGTGGCCATTGGGCATCTCTGATGTCTCCAGGCGAGCACTGCGCACCTCCAAGGTTTCCAGGTGGGCATGGGGCACCTCCATCATCTCCAGGTGGGCACTGGGCACCTCTGTGCTGAGTTCCAGGGTCACAGGGGGCACCTCCAAAGTCTCCAGGTGGGCACTGGGCACCTCTGAGGTCTCCAGGTGCACAGGGGGCACCTCCAAGGTTTCCAAGTGGGCACTGGGTACCTCCTCCATGGTCTCCAGATGGACATTGGTCACCTCAGGTGGTGGTGGCAGCACCTGGAGCTGGACATTGGTCACTTGGGAGGGCGGTGGCATCGCTTGGAGCTGGACTTTGGTCACCTCAGTGCCCTGGAGATGGACGTTGGTCATCTCAGGTGGTGGTGGCAGCACCTGGAGCTGGACATTGGCCACCTCACCTGCTCGGAGCTGGACACAGGTGACACCTGAGGGTGGTGGCTGCGCCTGGAGCCGGACATTGGTCACCTCAGGGGGCGGTGGCAACACCTGGAGCTGGACATTGGTCACCTCACCTGCTTGGAGCTGGACACAGGTGACATCCAGGGGTGGTGGCAGCACCTGGAGCCGGACTTTGGTGACCTCAGGTGGAGGTGGCAGCACCTGGAGCTGCACTCTGGTGACACCTGAGGGTGGTGGCAGCGCTTGGAGCTGGACATTGGTCACCTCAGGTGGTGGTGGTAACACCTGGAGCTGGACTTTGGTCACCTCGGAGGGTGCCGGCAGCACCTGGAGCTGCAGCCCTGTGACACCTGTGACACCTGGCACCCCTGTCACACCTGGGATACCTGGCACCCCTGTCACACCTGGCACCCCTGTCATACCTGTCACCCCTGTCATTCCTGTCATACCTGTCACCCCTGTCACCTCGGTGGCCTGGAGCTGCACCCCTGTGACACCTGCAACACCTGTCACACCTGTGACACCAGTCACAGCTGTCACACTTCTCACCCCTGCGACACCCGTGACACCTGTCACACCTGGGACACCTAGGACACTTGTCACCCCTGCCCCCTCTGTCACACCTGTCACCTCCCTGCCCTGCACCTGGACGTTGGTGACCTCCGGCAACACCTGGAGCTGCACACCTGTGACACCTGTGACACCTGGCACCCCTGCCACACCTGTCACCTCAGTGGCCTGGAGCTGCACACCTGGCACCCCTGTCACACTTGTGACACCTGTTACCCTGGTCACACCTGCCACACCTGGAACAGCTGTCACCCCTGTCACACCTGTCCCCTCCCCGCCCCGCACCTGGATGTTGGTGACCTCTGGCAACACCTGGAGCTGCACACCCGGGACACCTGTGATCCCTGTGACACCTGTCACCTCGGTGGCCTGGAGCTGCACACCTGTAACACCTGTAACACCTGCCACACCTGTCCCACCTGCCACACCTGTGACCCCTGCCACACCTGGAGCACCTGTGACCCCTGCCACACCTGTCACCTCGGTGGCCTGGAGGAGCTGCACACCTGCCATGCCTGCCCCACCCGTCACACCTGTGACCCCTGCCACACCTGTCGCCACCCCTGCCGCCTCAGCCACCTGTACCTGCACACCTGCAGGCCCCATCCCGCCCCTCAGCAAGATCACACTCGTCCCCGCCCCCTCCTGTCCCGCCCCAGGCGGCACCACCAGGACGCTCTGCCAGGTGTGCGGCCCCTTCCCCACCTGCGCCAGGTGAGCCCGGGTGGGCACCTGGGCGGCCTTGGCGGGGCCAGGCAGCAGCAGCACCTTGCGGGGGGCGGCGGGCGGGAGGGGCGGCCCCCCCCGCAGCAGCAGACAGGCCGGGGGGCGCGGCTCGGGCGCGCGGTGGGTGCGCAGGTGGCGCTGCAGGTAGGCGGCCACCACGAAGGCCTTGGGGCAGGCGGGGCAGTGGAAGGGCCGTGCGGCCGAGTGGGTGCGGCGGTGCAGGTGCAGGTTGGAGGAGTGGGTGAAGCTCTTGCCGCAGGTGCCGCAGGTGTAGGGCCGCTCCCCCGTGTGCACCCGCAGGTGCTGCCGCAGGTTGGCCGCCTGCGCGAAGCCCTTCCCGCAGGTGCCGCAGGTGTGGGGCCGCTCCCCCGTGTGGGTGTGGCGGTGCCGCCGCAGGCTCGACGAGTTCTTGAAGGCCTTGGGGCAGACGGGGCAGCGGTAGGGCCGCTCGCCCGTGTGCGCCCGCAGGTGGTACTGGTAGTGCGACGCCCACTTGAAGGTGAGGCCGCACTGGGCGCACTCGAAGGCCCGGATGCCCGTGTGCACCCTCAGGTGAGTCTGGAGCAGCGAGGAGCGCTTGAAGGCCTTGCCGCAGGTGGCACAGGTGTAGGGCCGCTCACCCGTGTGGTCCCGCAGGTGGTAGCGCAGCCCCGAGGAGCCCTTGAAGGCTTTGCCGCACTCGCCACACCTGTACGGCCGCTCGGGGGGCGGCAGCGGCTCCTCGGGGACGGGCGCGACCTCAGCAGCCTCGCCCAGGGCGTGGCCGAGCGGCACTGCCAGGTGAGCGCAGGGCTTGCCGCAGGGTCCGCCCCGGGGCCGCTCGGGCAGGTGAGGCCGCGCTGAGGGGCTCTTGGGGCTCTTCCCGCAGGAGAGGCAGCGCTGGGGCTGTGCCGGGGGCGGCCCGGCCACCTCCCGCCCCGCGCAGGTGAGGCCCCTCCGGGGTGGCTCCTCTGGGGCGTCGGGGCCGCGGCCCGGCGGGTGCCTCTGCGGGCAGGTGAGCGTGGCTGAGGGGGCGTGTCCTGGCGGGTGGGTGGGGCCGTGGGTGCGGCGGTGCAGGTGCAGGTTGGAGGAGTGGGTGAAGCTCTTGCCGCAGGTGCCGCAGGTGTAGGGCCGCTCCCCCGTGTGCACCCGCAGGTGCTGCCGCAGGTTGGCCGCCTGCGCGAAGCCCTTCCCGCAGGTGCCGCAGGTGTGGGGCCGCTCCCCCGTGTGGGTGTGGCGGTGCCGCCGCAGGCTCGACGAGTTCTTGAAGGCCTTGGGGCAGACGGGGCAGCGGTAGGGCCGCTCGCCCGTGTGCGCCCGCAGGTGGTACTGGTAGTGCGACGCCCACTTGAAGGTGAGGCCGCACTGGGCGCACTCGAAGGCCCGGATGCCCGTGTGCACCCTCAGGTGAGTCTGGAGCAGCGAGGAGCGCTTGAAGGCCTTGCCGCAGGTGGCGCAGGTGTAGGGCCGCTCACCCGTGTGGCCCCGCAGGTGGTAGAGGAGGGCGGAGGAGCCCTTGAAGGCCTTGGGGCACTCGGGGCACTTGTAGGGCCGCTCACCAGTGTGGCTGCGCAGGTGGTGGGACAGGCGGGACGACCAGCGGAACGACTTCCCGCACTCCCGGCAGGTGAAGGGATGCTCGGGGACGCCCGGAGCGGGGGCGGTGCCTGCCATGGTCACACCTGAGGGGGAGACAGGGAGAAGGTGAGATCTCAGACGTGAAATATTGGGGGCAGGTGAGACTCCAAATCTGAAACATGGGGGGCAGGTGGGACTCCAGACCTGGCATACGGGGACACAGGGACAGGTGAGAGCCCAGACCCAGCACGGAACGTGGGGGGACACACACCAAGACAGCGCATGGGGGCGTGGCCAACACAGGGGGGCGTGACCAGAAACCCTCCGTCCCCCCTCCGTCCCCTCGGGCCACGCCCACGCCCCGCGCGAGCCCGCGCGAGCCCACGCAAGCCCCGCCCCGTCCTCTTCAGGTCCCGCCGCGCGCGAGCCCCGCCATGCCACGCCCTCTCGCCTCGGGCCCCGCCCTGTCCTCCCCTCAGGCCTCGCCCCCTTCTCCCCTCAGAGTCACCGCCCCTTCCCCCCCCAGGCCCCTCCCCGCGCAGGCGCCGCCGCCGCGGCCCCGCCGCTTCCTCCTCCTCCTCCTCCTCCTCCTTTTCCTCCTCCCCCCGGTTCTCGCTCACCCGCCGGGGCAGGGCCGGGATCTCGGAGGCTCCTCCGGGGCCCGAGCCGGGGCAGGGCTGGACCCGCCGCTGCCGCCGCCGCGCAACGACCGGGCCGCGCCGCCTCACGAGGCCACGCCCCCTCCCTCACGAGGCCACGCCCCACCCGTGAACGCACAGCGGCGGAGGCCACGCCCCCTCCAGGCAGGCCACGCCCCCACCGTCGCATTTTGGGAGATTTTACTGGGTTTTACCGGTTTTTACTGGTTTTTATTTTAGGGGCGTTACAGGTATTTTAGGGGGTTACAGCTGTTTTGAGGGGGGTCACGGGTGTTTTGAGAGGGTCACAGGTATTTTAGGGGGGTTACAGATCTCCAATATGGCCCCAGTGGCCCCCCTCCAGTATCTCCCCAGTATGGCCCCAGTATCCTCCCAGTACAGCCCCAGTATCCCCCAGTAAAGACCAATAGACCCCTAGAACAGGTCACAGGTATTTTTTGGTGTGGGGGGGTCCCAGGTCATTTGGGGGGGGTCCCAGGTGATTTAGGGGAGTCCCAGGTATTTTGGGGGCTCAGAGATGATTTAGGGGGGTCCCAGGTATTTTTGGGGGGTCCCAAGATGTTTTGGGTTGGTCCCAGGTGATTCGGGGGGGGCTCCTATGGCTCAGGTGACGTCCCGGCTTCCTCTGGCATCTGGAGCAGGGGCTTGTCTGCAAAATTTGAGGGGGTCTGGGCGTCCTTGGGGGGACTTGGGGGTCTTGGGAGGGGTTTAGGGGGGTCTTGGTGGGATTGGGAGGGATTTGAGGGAGGTTTGGGGGGGGTTGGGGGTTCTTGGGGGGTCCTGGGGGTCTTGGAAGGGGTTTTGGTGGGTTTGAGAGGGGGTTGGAGGGTCCCCGGGGTGTCCTATTGGATCTTGAGGGGTTGGAGGGGGTTGGGAGGGTTTTTTGGGGGGGTTGAGGGCTCCTGGGGCGGCTTTGGGGGTCTTGGGAGGGGGTTTGAGGGGTCTTAGGGATCTTGGGAGGGGTTTGGAAGGGGTTTGGGGGGGTTGGGGGTCTTGGGGGGGTCCTGGGGGCCTTGGGAGGGGGGTTGGGGGCTCTGGGGGGTTTTTGGGGGGTCCGAGGGGAGTCCCTGCCCCTCCCCCCGGCCTTACCTGTGAAGCGCCGGCCCCGCCCAGCACACCTGGCCCACAGGTAGAGCCCCAGGAGGGCCCCGCAGAGCCCCCCCCCAACCCCCAGCAGCCCCTCCAGCACCGAACAGGAGCCCAGCAGGTCTGCAGGTGAGACAGGTGAGACAGGTGAGCACAGGTGACAGATGATGACGTACAGGTGAGGACAGGTGAGAACAGGTACCCACAGGTGCCTCACCTTCCAGCTCCTCGCAGGCCACTCGGGCAGCCCCACCTGCGTGGCAGGTGCCCGGCCCCGCCCCCTCCCTCAGGCACTCCAGGAGCAGCATCTCAGAGCCCCGACAGGTGAGACCCTCCAGTACCGCCCCCGGGGCCAGGTGAGCACCGACAGGTGCACTGAGGGCGGGGCCGCAGCCCAGCTCCTTGCACACCACCTCTGCCTCCAGCAGGCTCCAGGTGCGGCCGCACACGCCCAGCCAGGTGTGGTTGTGCAGCACCTGCACCTGCCCCGCGCAGGGCCCGGGGCCGTCCCGCAGCCGCACCTGCAGGGGGGTGGGACCTGCGAGGGAGGGGCACACACCTGAGCACACCTGAGAATCCCCCCTGGACCCACCTGAGCCCCCCCTAGACCCACTCCAACCCCATACCTGAGCACACCTGAGCCCACCGCCCCTCCCGCTCCCCCCTCCCACCCCACAGTCCCCCCCGCCTCCCCTGCACCCACCTGCGCCTCACCTGTGCACACCACGCCCGCGTCCTCGCCATGGTTGCAGTCGTGCTCGCCCCAGGTGTGCAGCTGGCACTGCGCCAGCTCCTGCTCCCTACCTGTGCAGTGGGCGCCGTCCAGCCAGATGGGATCCGCCCCCCGGCCGAAGTGGGCGTGGCCGGGCGCGGCGAGGGCGTGGCCGCAGCCCAGCTGGCGGCAGATCACCTGCGCGTCCTGCAGGTCCCAGGTGTCGTCGCAGACGGTTCCCCACTTGTGCTCGCGGAACAGCTCCACCCGCCCCGCGCAGGCGCTGGAGCCGTTGGCCAGGCGCACCTGGAGCTGCGACGCCGCCTCCGCACCTGCGGGGCACGACAGGTGTGGCGCACCTGGGCGGGGCTCCAGATGTGGCTGGGGTGTGGCTTCAGGCGGGAAAAGGGGTTCTGGGGCCAACAGGTGAGCATTGGGAGGGGTTTGGGGGTCAACAGGTGAGTCTGGGAGGGTTTGGGATCAAACAGGTGAGTATTGGGAGGGTCTCAGGGTCAACAGGTGACTGTGGGAGGGTTCTGGGGTCAACAGGTGAGTCTGGGAGGGTTCTGGGCTCAGGTGTGGTCACAGGTAGGTCCAACCAGGTAACCCCCCCCCTTCCCCACCTCCCTGAGCCCCCTACCCGCCCCTCCCCAAGCCCCACCTGCCTCACCTGCACACACCACACCCACGTCAGCGCCGTGCTCACAGCTGGCCTCTCCCCAGGGCCCCACCTGGCACTCGCCCAGGTGGCCCTCAGTGCCTGTGCAGGTGACCCGGTCCAGCCACACTGGCCCCTCCCCCTGCCCAAAGTGGGCCCCGCCTGGCGCTGACAGGGCGGGACCACAGCCCACCTGGCGACAGACCACCTGAGCCTCGGGCAGGCCCCAGGTGTGGCCGCAGAGCGTCCCCCACCTGTGCAGGTAAAGCACCTCCACGCGTCCCGCACAGCGCCCGGGGCCGCCCGCCAGGCGCAGCGGGACAGGTGAGGGTGGGGCCAGGGCGGGACCTGGATGGGCGGGGAGAGAACAAGAGGAGAGTCAGGATAGGTGTGGAGGGGGTCAGGTGTGTCTCAGGTGTGACCCTGAAGTCCAGGTGTGACCCCAGGAACAGGTGTGACCCCAAAGCCCAAGTGTCTCCCAATGTCCAGGTGTGTCCCCACCTCACCTGTCCCCCCCCAGCTGTGTCCCCCCCCACTCACCGCTCAGGGACAGGTAGAGGAGCAGCCCCAGGTGGCTCTGCAGGTAAAGGAGCCTCATGTTGGGAGTGCACACCTGGGCACAGGTGAGGTCCCAGCAGGGGCTGAGGTGGGCACAGGTGTGGCCTGCACAGGTGAGAATGTATGTCCAGAACAGGTGACGTCACGGGTGAGAAGGTGTATCCTGCATAGGTGAGAAGGTGTGTCCTGGACAGGTGAGTGCCCCTCCAACACCTGAGGACCCCCAGTCACACCTGAGTCCCCCCAACACACCTTAGGACCCCCAGACGCACCTGGGAACACCCAGACACACCTACGCCCCCCCCAGTGCTTTAAGGACCTGCCACACCTGAGTTCCCCACACACCTGAGCCCCCCCAGATGCACCTCGGGGCCCCCAGACACACCTGAGCCCCCCCAGACACACCTGGGGGCCCCCAGACACACCTGAGCCCCCCCAGACACACCTGGGGGCCCCCAGACACACCTGAACCCCCCCAGACACACCTGAACCCCCCCAGACACACCTGGGGGCCCCCAGACACACCTGAGCCCCCCCAGACACACCTGGGGGCCTCCAGACACACCTGAGCCCCCCCCCAGCGGTTTTAGGGACCCCGAGAAACACCTGAGCCCCCCAGGTGGGATTTACCTGCCCCCCCGAAGCAGGTGCGGCCCCCTCAGGTGCCCCCTCCGCGTGCCGGGGGTGGGGGAGGGGGAACCTCTGGACCCTCCCGGGTTTGTCCCGGTTTTCTTCCTGGAAAAGCCGCTGACGCAACCGCGGGGTCACGGGGGGGGAGAAGGGTCACCTGGACACCTGGCGCTGGTCCAGGGGGGGAGGGGCCACCCCAGTTCGCCCTCCCAGTTGAATGCCGGGACCCCTCGCCTCCCCCTCACCTGGGACCGGCTCACCTGGGCCGGGATGGGGGGCTCAGGTGGCTCAGGTGGGCGCCGGACCCTCCCCAGGGGGGACCCTCTCACCTGGAGGGGGGCGGCGCTGAGGACCCTCCTGGCCATGACGTACCTGTGTGGTGAGTGACGTCATGGGGGGGCCGGGGGGGTTGGGGACCCAGTTTGGGGGATTCTGACCCAAAATTGAAGGATTTTGACCCAAAATTGAAGGGGTTTGGTCCCAAACAGAAAGATTTTGCTCCCAGATTGAAGGGGGTTGACCCGGAATTGAAGGATTTTGACCCAAAACTGGAGGGGTTTGACTTAAAATTTAAGGATTTGGACCCAAAATTGGACATTACCTCAAAATCAATGTATTTTGACCCAAAATCAACATATTTTGACCCAAAATTGACATCTTGCCCTGTGTCAAAGAATTTTACTCCAAAATTGGCATCTTTTGCCCCAAATCGACGGATTTTACCCCAAAATCAACATATTTTACCCTCAAATTGATGTTTTTTGCCCAAAATTCTCTGAGTTTTCCCCCAAAACCAACATTCCCCCCTCCCCTCTTCCTTAAAAACCCGTGAAAAACGTGATTTTCCACCATTTCTCCCTAGTTGTTTTTTTTTCCCAGGAATTCCTGGGCTCGGGGCCAAATTCCCCCTTTTCGGCCCCACATCGATTTTTTGGGGGGCAAAAGTCGCGATTTTGGGTCATTTTGGTTTGTTTGGGGACCCGGCTGAGCCCGGTCACGTGATTTCCCGGCCCCGGGACCTTCAACTCCAACAGTTTTTCCCAGTATTCCCAAGTTTTCCACATTATTCCCCACTTTTTCCCAATTTCCCCCCATTTTCCCCCGATTTTCCTTTCACTTTTCTTCCCTTTTCCCATTTTTTTCTCCGCTTTTCCCAATTTTCCCCTTTTGGGGGTCTCCCTGCGCCTCCAGGGCGGTCCCTGAGCTCACCTGTTCCCTTCACCTGTCCCAGGTGTGTCCCCGTCTCCCCCGGGGGTCTCCCTGCGCCTCCAGGGCGGTCCCTGAGCTCACCTGTTCCCTTTACCTGTCCCAGGTGTGTCCCCGTCCCCCCCGGGGGTCTCCCTGCGCCTCCAGGGGGGTCCCTGAGCTCACCTGTTCCCTTTACCTGTCCCAGGTGTGTCCCCGTCCCCCCCGGGGGTCTCCGTGCGCCTCCAGGGGGGTCCCGACGGCTGCTCGGGGCGGGTCGAGGTGCTGCACAACCTCACCTGGGGCACCGTGTGCGACGACGGCTGGGGCGTGGCCGAGGGCGAGGTCACCTGTGCCCAGGTGGGCTGCGGGCGGCTGCGGGCGCTCGCCCCCGGCGCCAGGTACGGCGAGGGGGAGGGGCCCATCTGGCTGGACGAGGTGAAGTGCGCGGGGCACGAGGGGCACCTGGAGCAGTGCCGGGCGCGGCCCTGGGGGCAACACAACTGCGGCCACGGCGAGGACGTGGGCGTCGAGTGCGCAGGTGAGGGGCCGCCCGCCCGCGCTTCCCGTCCTTCTCCTCCCGCGGCCCCATTTCCCCCACTTTTCCTCCATTTCCCCCCAGTTTTCCCCTATTTTCCTCAATTTTTCCCTGATTTTCCCTGATTCCCTCTGATTTTCCTCAGTTTCCCCCCTGTCTCACCTGTCTCACCTGTCCCACTTGTCTCACCTGTCCAGGACATTTGTCCCCCGTTTCTCCCCTTTTTACCCCATTTCTCCCCCTTTTCCCCCCCCATTTTTCCCCCTCACTTGCCTCACCTGTCCCATCTGCTCCACCTGTCTCACCTGTCTCACCTGTCCCACCTGTCTCACCTGTCACCCCTGTCCCCCCAGACTCGGTGACGTCATCGCTGGGCTCCCTGCAGCTGCGGGAGGGCCCCGATCGCTGCTCGGGGCGGGTGGAGCTGCTGCACCTGCACAGGTGGGGCACGGTCTGCGACGACGGCTGGGACCTGCAGGATGCTCAGGTGATCTGCCACCAGCTGGGCTGCGGCCACGCCCTCGCCGCGCCCGGCCACGCCCACTTCGGCCGGGGCCACGACGTCATCTGGTTGGACGAGGTGAACTGCACCGGGACGGAGAATTCCATCCTGGAATGTCCCGCCAAGCCCTGGGGGGACAACAATTGCTTCCACGGGGAGGACGCCGGCGTCATCTGCTCAGGTGAACTCACCTGGGGACATCTGGGGACACAGCTGGGGATAGCTGGGGACACCTGGGGCACATCTGGGTCTCACCTGGCTCAGGTGAGCGACCACAGAACCACATCCTGCTGGAGTTTGGGACTTACCTTTGACCCCACCTGCTGCCACCTCCCCCTGCCCCCTGCCCCCCCCAGCCCCTCCAGGTGAGCTCACCTGTGTCGTTGCAGCCTCCAGGATGGCGGTGCCCGCCCAGGTGCGCTTGGCCAACGGCTCCACCCGCTGCCAGGGGCAGGTGCAGGTGTCCTACGGGGGCACCTGGGCGGCCCTGTGCGACCACGGGTGGGGCCTGGCCGAGGCCCAGGTGGTCTGCAGGCAGCTGGGCTGCGGCCACGCCCTCTCCGCACCTGGAGGCTCCTGGTTCGGGCGGGAGCAGATGAAGGTGTGGCCAGGGAGCGTCACCTGCGTGGGGACAGAGCGGGAGCTCCTGGGCTGCCAGGTGAAGCCCTGGGAGAACCGCACGTGTCACCTGGGCGGGGCGGCAGGCGTGGTCTGCACAGGTGAGCAGCACCCTGGGGGGACACACACACCTGGAGGGGGCTCATCTGGGGTTTCCACCTGGTTTTGGGGGCTGGGAGGGGGTTTCAGCGCTCACCTGGCGCCCCTGAGGTGGCCACAGGTGGGGCAGCTGGGAAGGGTGGTCCAGGTGTGTTTGGGGTGGTTGGAGGCACCTGCAGCACCTGGTGGAGGTGCAGCACCTGAGGAGGTGCTGGGGACACACCTGGTCAAGGCTCAGCACCCGAGAAGGTGCCAGGGCAGCACCTGGACAGGTACCAGGGTGCTCCAGGTGTGTCTCGACCCTCTCCCTCCTCCCACCTGTGCCCCTCTCTGCCCCCCAGGTAACCCCGAGGCCGACCAAGTGCGCCTGGTGAGCTCCGGCAGCCGCTGCGCCGGGAGGGTCGAGGTGTTCCACAACGGCAGGTGGGGCACGGTCTGCGACGACACCTGGGACCTGGCGGACGCCCAGGTGAGTCCCGGGGGAGTCAGGTGAGGCTGGAGAGGGGCAGGTGGGGCTGGGGAGGCTCAGGTGGATCCTACGGGGGGGTACTGGGGGTGCTCAGGTGGGTCCGGAGGATGCTCAGGTGGGTCCTGAGGACACTCAGGTGTGTCCTGGGCCCGCCCAGGTGGTCTGTCGCCAGGTGGGCTGCGGGAAGGCCCTGTCGGCACCTGGGAGGGCCCAGTTCGGGCGGGGCACTGGCATCATCTGGTTGGATGAGACCAACTGCACAGGGGCGGAGCCTCACCTGTCCGCCTGCCCCGCCCGGCCCTGGGGTCGCAACGACTGCTACCACGGCGAGGACGCAGGTGTGGTGTGCTCAGGTGAGCTCCGGGACAGGTGAGGGGGGTGGCAGGACCCCCAGGTGTCCTTCCCACTCCACCTGTGCCAGGTGAGCTCTGGGGACAGGTGAGAGGAGTATCAGGGCCCCCAGGTAACTCTGTGCTCCAGGCAGGGGGGGTTTTGGGCCTCACCTAGGTGTTCCCCCCACCTTTCCCAGGTAGAAGAGGGGGTGAGGACAACCCGGAGCTCACCTGGGGGGGGTTACCTGAGCTCCTTCCTCACCCAGGTGTGTCTTTCCAGACTCCCTGATCCCGGAGCCGCCTCACCTGCGCTTGGTCAACGGCTCCCACCGCTGCGCCGGGCGGGTGGAGCTGCTTCACCTGGACAGGTGGGGCGGGGTCTGTGCAGGGGGCTGGTCCCACGAGGCCGCCCAGGTGGTCTGTCGGTACCTGGGCTGCGGCACCGCCCTGCGAGGGGCGGAGTTCGGCACACCTGGGCAGGTGTGGCTTGACCAGGTGAGCTGCCAAGGGACAGAGAAGAACCTTGGGGAGTGTCGGACGAGCCCGTGGGCCCAGCGCACCTGTGAGGGTGGGAGAGCTGCAGGTGTGGTGTGCTCAGGTGAGGCTCGGGGTGCCTGGGCAGGGAGAACAGGTGATTCCTCCCCCCCGGGCAGGTAGAACAGGTGATTCCCCCCAGCAAGGTACCACCTTCCCCTGGGTCCTGCCATTCTCAGGTGTGGTTTAGGGCGTCACCCATTCATTTCACACCTGTAATCCCCCCCCCGCCAGGTACCACCCCCCCGCAGGTAACCAGGTGTGCCCTTCCCCCTTCCCCTGCCCGCAGGTGCGGAGCCGTCGGGCGGTGCCCAGGTGCGCCTGGTGGGCGGCCCAGGTGAGTGCGCAGGGCGGGTCGAGGTGCTCCACGCCGGCGCCTGGGGGACGGTCTGCGACGACACCTGGGACTTCGCCGCCGCCGCCGTCGTGTGCCGCTCCCTGGGCTGCGGCCAGGTGATCTCGGCCCCGCCCCGCGCGCGCTTCGGGGAGGGGCGTGGCCCCATCTGGCTGGACGGGCTCACCTGCCAGGGCCACGAGGGGCACCTGGATGAGTGTCGCCACAAGAGCTGGGGCATCCACGGCTGCGAGCACAACGAGGATGCCAGCGTGGTGTGCGCAGGTGAGCCGCAGGGCAGGGGCGGGTGGGCTCAGGTGTGCGCAGGTGAGCAGCAGGTGCCCCAAACCCCCCCTCATCTGACCAGGTGTGTGTCCCCTCACCTGCAGGCTCTCACCTGGCCGACCTGACCCACCTGCGCTTGGCCGATGGTGCCGACAGGTGCTCGGGGAGGGTGCAGGTGCTCCACGCCGGGCGCTGGGGTGGGATCTGTGCCCACTCCTGGCACCTGGCGGCCGCCCAGGTGGTCTGCGCCCAGGTGGGCTGTGGGGGAGCAGCGGGCGTGGACCAGGTGAGGCCAGGCGAGGGCGAGCTCACCTGGCTGGAGGCCGTTACCTGCCGGGGGGACGAGGGGGCTCTCCTGGAGTGCCAGGTGAAGGGCTGGGGGGGGCCCCGCACCTGCGGCCATGGAGGACACGCCCACGTCACCTGTACAGGTGAGTTTGGAGGGGGCCACAAACACCTCCCCCAGAGACCCTCTCTGGGCTCAGGTTACCCCACAAAGACCCCCCAAATCCCCAGAGACCCCCTAATGTCCCCCAATGTCCCCATGACCCCCCCAAAACCCACCAGAGACCCCCCAATGTCCCCAAACCCCCCCAGTGACTCCCCCAGAGACCCCCTGGCACCCTAAAAACACCCTTGGGGACCCCAAAAACACCCCCCGGCACCCCAAACCCGCCAGGTAACCACAGAGGCAGGTGAACACCTTGGGAGGGGACACCATTGGCCAGGTAAGCACACCTGGCCAGGTACCCACACCTGGCTGTGTCTCCTGTTTTCCAGGTGTGACCCAGGGGCGCTCCAGTTTTCCTGGAAGCTCAGGTGAGCCAGGTGAGCTCCGCCTGGCTGACGGCCCCCACCGCTGCTCGGGGCGCGTCGAGGTTCTCCACAACCACACCTGGGGCACTGTCTGCGGCCACACCTGGGACCTGGCGGCTGCCCAGGTGGTCTGCCGTCACCTGGGCTGCGGCCACGCCCTCAGCACACCTGGAGCCGCCCGTTTTGGGGCGGGGCCCGGTCCTGCCTGGCTGGACGGGTTCAGGTGCGTCGGCAACGAAACCACCATTGCCCAGTGCCCGGGCAGCACCTGGGGGCGGCACACCTGTGATCACCTGGACCACGCCGGGGTCGTGTGCTCAGGTAACCCTCCCAGGTGACCCCCAGGCGACCCCCCAGTTGTCCCCACCTGCAACAGGTGCCCCCACCTGTGCTGGAAGGGGAAGGCAGAACAAGCATCCAGGTGTGTGCAGATCCCCTCTAACCCCCCTTCCCACCTGTGCAGGTGCCCCCCCGGCAGGTAACTCCAGCTCGGGTGAGGTGAGGTTGGTGGACGGGCCTCACCTGTGCATGGGGCGTGTCGAGGTGCTCCACGATGGCCAATGGGGGACAGTCTGTGACGACAGCTGGGACCTGAAGGAGGCCCAGGTGAGTCGGGGGGGGCTCAGGTGTGTCCTGGGTGTGCCCAGGTGTCCTGGGTGACACTCAGGAGAGTCCCTGGGCGTTCCCAGGTGGTCTGTCGCCAGGTGGGCTGCGGGGAGGCCCGGGCCGCCCATGGCCACGCCCATTTCGGGCAGGGGGCAGGGCCCATCTGGCTGGATGACATCACCTGCGCGGGGGACGAGACGCACCTGGCGCAGTGCCGCGCCCAGCCCTGGGGGAGCAACAACTGCCACCACGGCGAGGACGCGGGTGTGGTGTGCTCAGGTGAGCCCAGGGGGGATCAGGTGGGTCCAGATGTGATCAGGTGTGTTGTGGTGGGCTCAGGTGTGCCCAGGTGGACACAAATAGGCCCAGATGTGCTCAGGTGAGTCCGGGTGACCTCAGGTGCGTGGTGGAGGGCTAAGGTGAGCCCAGGTGGGCTCAGGTAACCTCCACATCAACCTCACCCTCCCACCCCACCTCATCCCTCTCAGATAACCCCCTGCCCACCTCACCTTTCCCCTCACCTTCCCGTTACCTGCCCAGGTGCCAACGTGACGGAGGAGCAGTTCCAGGTGCGCCTGGTGGGCGGCCCCACCCCCTGCGCGGGGCGGGTGGAGGTGCTGCACGAGCACAGGTGGGGCACGGTCTGCGACGACACCTGGGACCTGCGGGACGCGCGGGTCACCTGCCGCCAGCTGGGCTGTGGGGACGCCGTGGCCGCCCCCGGCCACGCCCACTTCGGGGAAGGAGTGGGGCCCGTCCTGCTGGACCACGTGGGCTGCACAGGTGAAGAGAACACCTTGGAAGAGTGCGACAAGGGCCCCTGGGGGGTCCACAACTGCAACCATGAGGAGGACGCAAGTGTGGTGTGCACAGGTGAGGGGCGGGGCGGGGGGAGGGGGCTCAGGTGGGGCTGGGGAGGGGCAGGTGTGCTCAGGTAACACGGGCAGGAGGCTGTAGGTGTGCCCAGGCGTACTCAGGTGTGTGCCCCTCCCCCGCAGGTCCCACCCCCCTGCAGGTGCGGCTGCGGGACGGCCCCGGGCCCTGCACGGGGCAGGGGCAGGTGCTGCACAACCACACCTGGCTGGGCGTGTGCGGCCGCACCTGGAGCCTGCTGGAGGCAGAGGTGGTGTGCAAGGAGCTGGGCTGCGGCCCCGCCCTCAGCGCACCTGTCGGCGCTCACCTGGCCCCGGGGGCGGCGCTGGAGGGTCTCACCTGTCGGGGCTCCGAGACGCTGCTCTTGGAGTGCCTGAGGGAGGGAGCGAGGCCGGGCACCTGCCACACAGGTGGGGCCGCAGGTGTCGTGTGCGCCACGCCCAAAGGTGAGGCACAGGGCGGGGAGGGAGGTGTCAAGGTGGGGGGACGGGTGTGACAGGTAGAGCCAGGACAGGTGTGACAGGTAGGGGTGGGACAGGTGGCTCACCTGCACAGGTAATTGAAGTTGAATCTTCCAACCCCCCCTTCCCCTCTCGCCTAATTAACCCCTCCCACACGTGGCGCACGTAAGGCCAGGTTTGGGGGGTTCTCACCTGTCCCCCCCCCACCAGGTGTGCCCCCCACCTGTGCACCCCTGGTGGCCCTGCTGGGGCTGCTGACGTCACTCAGTGGGGTCCTGCTCTGGCTCACCTTGAGGACCAGGTGTGTGGGAGAAGCCCCAGGTAAAGGTGAGTCCCGCCACCCTGAAGTGTGTCCCAGGTGCCTCCAGGTGTGTCCCAGGTGTCCCCAGGTGTTTCGAGGTGTGTCCCGGTTTATCCAGGTATATCCAGGTGTGTCCCAGGTGTGTCCCCAGATGTGTCCGGGTGTTCCCAAGTGTGTCCTAGGTATCCCCAGGTGTATCTTAGGTGTTCCCCAGGTGTTCCCAGGTGTCTTCCAGGTGTCCCAGGTGTTGCCCCAGGTGTCACCAGGTGTGTCCCCTCCCCCCACAGGTCACCTGGGGGCCATTTACCTGCCCAGGAGGGTCCCCCCTGAGGAGGTGGAGACACTGCAGCTCATCAAGGACGATGCCCCCTGATCTCACCTGTCACCTCTCACCTGCCCCCCCCAAACACACCTGGGGGGGCTCAGGTGTCCCCACACACCTGGGGCAGGTGGAGGGGAGCAAAAAAAGTGGGAAAATGGGGTGGAAATTAATAAAATTGGGGTTTTCAGCCATCCAGGTGAGACAGGTGTGAATTCTGGGGGGAGGGGGGATTGACCCTCCAGATGTGAATTTTGGGGGGTCCCCAAACCCTCCAGGTGTGAAATCAGGTGAGAACACCAATGATGTCATTAATTAACCATTATTTAATTAGCATATGCCCCACCCAGGTATGCCCAGACCCCACCCCCAGTACTACAGGTACCACCTAGGTGGGACAGGTGAGTCCCAGGTGTCCACAGGTGAGACTCAGGTGAGCCCCAAGTGCCCACAGATGAGACTTAGGTGCCCACAGGTGAGTCCAGGTGCCCACAGGTGAGTTGTCCCATCCAAAGGGGGACAAATCCGGGATTGAGGAATCTGGGAAGGAGGATCCAGGTGAGCACCTGCCCAGTCCCAAGTGCACCTGGGGTGCCAGGTGTGGCTGTTCCACCCCAAAAATCCAGGTGAGGGCTCAGGTGAGGTGTGCACACCTGGCCTTAGGTGTGTCGGGGGTCCCACAGGTCCTGGGGGCGTGTCCAGTGTCAGTGATGTCACAGCTCAGGTGTCGTGGTTCAGGTGCTGCAGGTTTTGGGGACCACACCTGTCCAGGTGTGCAGGTCCAGGGTCTGCTCACCTGGGGCTCAGGTGTCACAGTTAGGTGTTGCTGCTGAAGGTTCTGGGGGTGCACACCTCTCCTGGCTCCCTTCACCTGTCTCTCAGGTGTCCTGACACAGGTCCATCAGCTTTTTGGGGTCCGCACCAGGTTTTTGGGGCACACCCCCGCCCCGGCCGCCCCGCCCCGGCGCTCAGGTGTCCCTGTGCACGCGCTGGTGCTGCAGCAGGTTGGAGGGGTGCGCGAAGCCCTTGGCGCACACCCCGCACTTGTAGGGCGTCTCCCCCGTGTGCACCTTCTCGTGCACGCCCAGGTAGGCGAGGTCCTTGAAGAACTTGTGGCAGAAGCTGCACTCGTAGGGCCGGGCCTGGCTGTGCACGCGCCGGTGCTGCAGCAGCAGCGAGGGCCGGGCGAAGGCCTTGCCGCAGGCCTCGCAGCCGTAGGGCCGCTCGCCCGTGTGCGCGCGCTGGTGGATGGCCAGGTAGGACGACTGCTTGAAGGCCTTGCCGCAGGTGCGGCAGGCGAAGGGCCGCTCGCCCGTGTGCACCCGCTCGTGCGACGCCAGCGCGTTGCTCTGCTTGAAGCCCTTGCCGCAGAGGCCGCAGGTGAAGGGCCGGTCCCCGGTGTGCACCCGCTCGTGCACCTTCAGCGAGTGCCCGTAGGTGAACCTCTTGCCGCAGACGCCGCAGGCGTGCGGCTTGTCCTCGCAGTGCTGCCGCCGGTGCAGCTGCAGCGCCGCGCCCGTCGCCAGCTCCTTGCCGCAGTCGCCGCAGCGGAAGGGCTTGTCGGCGCCCAGGTGCGTCAGGGCGTGCCGCTGGCGCTCGTAGGGCGTCTTGAAGCCCTTGGGGCAGCGCGGGCAGGCGAAGGGGCGCTCCCCGCTGTGGATGCGCCGGTGCTCCTGCAGGTTGGAGGAGCGCTTGAAGCGCTTCCCGCACAGGTCGCAGCGGTGCGGCCGCTCCTCGGTGTGCACCAGCCCGTGGCTCTTGAAGTCCGAGTGGCGCTTGAAGGTGGCCCCGCACGCCTGGCAGGTGAAGGGCCGCGCCTCGGTGTGCACGACCTCGTGGCTCAGCAGCTCCCACGCCCGCTTGAAGCCCTTGTGGCACACGGGGCACTGGAAGGGCTTCTCGGCCACGATCACCCGCCGGATCTCCAGCGGCGCCGGCGCCTCGCCCGGCGGCTCCGCCCACTCCGCCTCGCCCGCGGGGCTCGCGGCACCGGCACCGGCACGCCCGCCCAGCACCAGCTTGGCCGTGGAGTAGACGCCGCGCTCGTCGATGAGCTGCACGAAGGCCTGGCTGGGCTCGCCTGGGCTCAGCTCACCTGGGCCCAGCTCACCTGGGATCAGCTCATCTGGGCCCAGCTCACCCGCGTGGCCCAGCTCGTCTGGGCTCAGCTCACCCGCGTGGCCCAGCTCACCCGGGCGACCCCACAGTACCTGCAGGTGGTTCCCGTGAGAAGGTCCAGGTTCCTCGGGGCTCTCCAGGTGTTCCCGGCTGGGGCGGGGCCGCCGGGGGTTCAGGTACAGGCGAGGCTTCCGCCGGCGCAGGGGAGGGGCTGAGGCCTCACCTGGAGGCCTCACCTGGGCGCAGGAGGCTCCTCCTGGTGTCACCTGAGTTGCCTCCTGGCCTTCATCACCTGGTTCTTCTTCTTCCTCACCTGGTTCTTCATCACCTGGGTCCTCATCAAGCTCTTCCTCACCAGGTTCTTCATCAGCTGGTTCTTCAATTTCTTCCTCACCTGGTTCCTCCTCACCTGGTTCCTCATCAGGTTCTTCCTCACCAAGTTCTTCCTCCTCACCTGGTTCTTCACCAAGTTCTTCCTTCTCAGCTGGTTCTTCCTCCTCCCCTGGTTCCTCTTCCTCACCTGGTTCTTCACCAAGTTCTTCCTCACCTGGTTCTTCCTCCTCCCCTCGAGGCTCCTCCAGGATCCGTCGGGAAAAGTGGGGTTCGTGGCCCCTCCCCCGCAACGCCTCCATGGCCACACCTGGAACCCGGGACAGGTGAGAGGGTGAGAGGAGACACAGGGGAGGGGATGGGCCTGGGATCCCCCTGAGCTGGGCTTGGGGACCCCCAGAGTCGGGCTTAGGGACCCCCAGAGCTGGGTTTGGGGATCCCCTTGGGCACCCTCTAGGCCGGGCTTGGGGACCTCCCAGGCTGGGTTTAGGGATACCCTGAGCTGGGTTTGGGGACCGTCTGAGCTGAGGCCCCTCCCAGTTTGTCCCAGTCCCCTGCCAGTCCCCCCCAGTCCTCTCCCAGTACACTCCAGTCCTGTCCCAGTTTCTCCCAATCCCCTCCCAGTCTCTCCCAGTCCCCCCCAATCCCCTCCCAGTCTCTCTCAGTCCCTCCCACTCCCCCCCAATCCCCTCCCAGTCCATCCCAGTCTCTCCCAGTTTCTGACCCGGCGCCGCCGCCGCCCCCGGAGCCACTTCCGGCCGCGATCGCGCGCGGTGACGTCACTTCCGGGGCGGGTTCTGGGGCGGGACTGGGAGGGGACTGGGACACACTGGGAGGGGACGGAAAGGCACTGGGCCATACTGGGGTGTACTGAGAAGGCACTGGGCCATACTGGGGTGTACTGAGAAGGCACTGGGCCATACTGGGGTGTACTGAGAAGGCACTGGGCCATGCTGGGAGGGACTGGGAAGGCACTGGGCCATACTGGGAGGGACTGGGAAGGCACCGGGAAGGCACTGGGACGCACTGGGAGCGTACTGGGCTGTACTGGTCTGAACTGGGCTGTACTCGTCTGAATCCCAGAAAACTCCCACTCTCCGAAGGTCCCTTTACGCTTCTTTTTCCTCATCCCGGGGGGTTTCACCCCAAATCCCACAAATTCCTGCCCCATTCCCTCTTCTGTTCCCTCCCACTCTCCTCTCTGGTGACCTTTGGAAAACCAGGAACCGTTTTACCGCTGGAATTTCCTCCCTTTTTGGCTCCAAAGGTCCCAGGAGCCTCCGCAGCCTCAGGCAGGTTTCAATCCCGAGGGATTTTCTGGAGATCCTGCGGGTGCTGCTGGAAAACCAGGTTGCTTTTTCCTTTTTCCACGCGATTTCCCACCTTTTTCAGGGAATTTTATCCCATTTCCATTTTATATTTCCCATAAATTCCCGTTTTCTGTTTATTTATAATTCCCGGAACTCCCAAGTTTTTCCTCCTCCTTTTTTTCCCACAGGATTTCTGTCGCTTCCCCTTCCCTTGCGTTGCTTTCCCAGGATTTTGGGATTTGCCCTGAAATATTTGGGAATTCTCTTTTATTCCCTCGGGAAAGCTAAAGGAATTTTGGCACCATGATGTTATGGGGGGAGGGGGGAGAGATTGAAAAAGGGCCGAAATGGGGAAAAAATCCCAAAAAAACCTGTGGATAAAAAACCCCCAAAGTTTCCAGAATGGCCTCGTTTTCCTGGGAATTGCCGCTGAGGAAAAGGACGCCCTACAAAAAGGGAACTCCCGGGAGTTTTCCCTGGTTTCCCTTTTTTCCCCTCCTTTTCCTTTTTCCCCCTTTTTTCTCCCTTTCCCATTTTTCTCCCTTTCCTCCTTTTTTCCCTTTTCCATTCCCTCTAAATCCAGGAAAGGAACCCACAGAACAACTTCCAAAAACCAGGAACAGTTTGTTGGAGCAGATCCAGCTGCTCCAGAACTCAGGAGGAGGACCCAATCCCATGGATTTCCCATTCCCACCTGGAATTTTTCCTTTCCCCGCAGGAATGGGGCCCTGGATCCGGATGGTCCCCCTCCTCGCGTTCTCTGGACTCCACCCCACAACAGGTAATTTTATGGGATTTCATGGATTTGTTGAGCTTGGAAAAGACCCTGAGGATCCCCGGAGAGCTTCTGGAATTCTTTGGGATTTGAGCTTCCAAATGATTCCATCGGGGGAACTCAGGGAAGTTAATTTTTGGATTTTGGGGGGGAGGAATTTTTGGCTCCCGATGAATTCCTTGGCTCGTTTTGTTTTATTCCCACCTGGCGAGAAGGACCCGGAATCTTCATCCCAATAATTCCAGCTGCCTTGGAGAGGGGGGAAAATCAGGATATTCTTCTGGAGCTCCTGTGTCCTGCTCATCCATAGGGAGCGTCCATGACCCGCTGCTCGTCCTGGATGGATTGGAAGACTCCGGAATCCACCTCAAGTGCCTCTCGGAGCGGCTCTTTTCCGAAGTCAAGGTGTTGTGGATGGATGGGAAAGGCAGGAATATCACCGGGAGTGCCCTGAGCACGGACACATCCGGGAATGCCGGGAGCTCCATCGTCCTCAAAGCGGGCTCTGGGAACGCCGTGTCCTGCAGGGTCGTCGACAGCCTCGGGAAAACATCCACGGAATCCTCCGTCGTCATCGCGGGTGAGGGGGAAACGGGGATCTGGTGCCGCTGGTCCCGGGAATCCCAATTTTTAGTGGGATAATCAATCAATTCCCGGTCTAGGGATGCAAAATTCCAGGTTTGGGGATCCAAATTCCCTCCGCTCCAGGTGTGTCCCCAAAATCTCATCTAACGGAGCCCCTGGATTGTTTTCCAGAGAGTTTCTTCCCGACCGTCTCCCTCTGGCTCCCGGCTTTTGTGATGCTCCTGCTCCTTGGGATATTCCTGCTCCTGGCAGCTGTTTATAAACTCCGGAGTAAGTTCCCTTTTTAGCCTTTCTTTCCCTTTCCCCCCTTTTTTCCCTTTTCCCATTTCCCCCCTTTTTCCCCCCTTTTCCCCCCTTTTTCCCCTTCCCAGGAAAACCTTCCTTGGAAAACTCCCGAGTTAACCAACATTCCCCTTTCCCTGCTTTCCCACAGGCAACCAAAAGGCGACGGATCAGGAAAGTGAGTCAAACCGTTCATTCAACTAATTAACTAATTAAAAATAGAAATAAAACATGAAAATAAATAAATAAAAAAAAAAGAAGCGGAAAACAGTCCTTAAAACTGATTTTTAAATTAATTAATTAAATTTATAATTAAACTTTTAAATTAATTTAAAAATTAATTTTTTTGTGCTCCAAAATGTTCCTCTTTTCCCAGAAAACGCCCAGAAGCAAATTCAGGAGGGTGAGTGGAAAAAAAAAGTGATTTTTTTTCTTGGTGATTTCTGTCTTCAAATTTCTTTAACAAATTAAAAAAAAAAAATGAATCAAATCCAGCGAGAAAATCAAATTAAAATTAACCTGAACCTGCGAAATCAGCGACTGTTAAAAAAAAAAACTGGTGAAAGTGTCGGAAAAATGGGAAAAATTTGGTGTATTTGGGGGGAAAAGGGGACAAAAAAGGGAAAAAAATGTGATTTTTAATATTTGAACCTGATTCCTTTCAGACATCGAGGAATTCAAGATGGAGCTGGGTAAGGGCTGAGCTCGGGACTGAGGGTTTGTTAGACTGAGATTATTTCTGATGATTTCATAGACTTGGGGGGGGGTGTCCTGAATTTCCCTCCATTTTCCTCATTTTCTCCCTTTGTCTTCCAGAGGAAGTGCAGGAAAAATTCCAGAAGGGTAAAAAATCCTGGATTATTCCTCCAGAATTAATCACATTTTATATAATAATATGTATCGTAGGTAGAATTAGAATTATTTCAATTATTTAAGAATATAAATTATATTATTATTAATTTATTAACACTGTTAACAGTAATTATATATTGATTTTGTAATTATTAATATTTAATAATTAATAATTATTTCATTATTAATAATGGTTATATTTATTAATATTAACTATTAATAATATATTTTTATATCAAGTCACTAGATATAAAAATATATATTTTCATGTATTTTAGATGTATTATAGAATATTTGAAATATATTTTTATATCGTATTTAAAATGTAATCTATTTTAATACATTTTAATATATTAAATATGATTTCGTGTATTTTTATATGTAATACACATAACTTAAAATATATTTCTATATCTTTTAACCTTTCCACCCCCAAATTCCCAGAATTCCCCTCCTTTCCCCTTCCCAAATCCTGATTTCCTATTCTTTCCCTGTAGAAAACCAGGAGATGACAACAAAAATCGGTGAGAAAATTCCACAGCTTGGGGAATTTCGGGAATTTTGGGTTTTTGGGGCTCCGGAAAAAAAAGCACTTTCGGGGGAAAATTGGGGCCGCTTTGAGGGCTGGGGCTGGTGACACACCTGGGACAGGTGACACACCTGGGACAGGTGACACTGGTGACACACCTGGGACAGGTGACACACCTGGGACAGGTGACACTGGTGACACACCTGGGACAGGTGACACACCTGAGACAGGTGACACAGGTGACAGGTGACACAGGTGACACACCTGGGACAGGTGACACAGGTGACACAGGTGACAGGTGACACACCTGGGACAGGTGACACACCTGGGACAGGTGACACAGGTGACACACCTGGGACAGGTGACACACCTGGGACAGGTGACACAGGTGACACACCTGGGACAGGTGACACAGGTGACAGGTGACACACCTGGGACAGGAGACACAGGTGACAGGTGACACACCTGGGACAGGTGACACAGGGGACAGGTGACACACCTGGGACAGGTGACACAGGTGACACTGGTGACACACCTGGCTCAGGTGTCACAGGTGCCCCACCCAGCCCAGGTGCCCCTTTTCCAGCAGGACGGTGACGGAATTTCTCTCCTTCCAGAACAAATCCAGGCCCAACTGGGTGAGTTGGTCCCGACCCTCGAATTCCCAAACCCCGCCCCCCAGTTATGCAAATGAGCTGCTGCCGGGTAATTAATCAATTAGCGTTAATTAGTCGTTCATTTCCCTGCAGATTTCAGACGTGCCCAGAGCAACGCGGGTGAGTCAGGGTCTTCCCCTTCCCCTTCCCTTCCCTTCCCTTCCCCTTCCCCTTCCCCTTCCTCTTCCCCTTCCCCTTCCCCTTCCCTTCCCCTTCCCCTTCCCCTTCCCTTCCCCTTCCCCTTCCCTTCCCCTTCCCCTTCCTTCCCCTTCCCCTTC